AAATTTACTCGGGAATGCTGTATACCTGTTAATATTTCTTCTAATCTCTTAATAGATGTATGAAAACATCAGTAGCTGGTTTTACAAGTAGCCTAGCATCAGCTTTGCTATCAGTTCTTGGGCCACTGTCCTCTCCTAGAGACCACTTCCTTCAGGTGATCTCAAACAGCTGCTTTGGGTCTGGGGCCTGGGAATTCCTTTTGCCACCTTGCTTTTTTGTCTCCCCCCTTTTTCCTGATCTCATATATTCCTCTTTCTCACTTTCTCCCCTTTTTTGCAGTAGCACACCATATTAGTCAGGTTTCCATTGCTGAGACCAAATAACTGAGGAAAACAAAGGGAGAAATACTTGTTTGCGCTCACAGTTTTAGAAGTGTCAGTCCATGCTCGTGTAGCTCTGGTGTTTCCAGGCCATGACGAGTAAAGATGCTTCCTCATGGAGGCCAGGAGTCAGAGATGGAGGAAATGGCTGGGGACAGACACCACCCCCAAGAATATGCCCCCAAGGACCCACTCCTCCCAAGTTTCTGTCACCTTCCAATAGCCCATCAAATAATAAACCCATCAGTGGACTAATCCATTGATAAAGTTAGAGGCCTCTTGATCCAATCACTTCCCCAAAAGCAGGGGAACATTTTAGATCCAAACCATGACACATATCTTCTAGTGTCTTTCTAAGCAATGTACAAATAAACATCTCTCTGAAAAATGTCTATTTTCTATCCTCATTTATTGGCAGCAACTTATTTCTTTGTTGGAAATAGTTTCTCCACTGGAAATATGGCTCGAGTGATAGACCACATGCCTAGCAAACATGTGGCGCTGAGTTCAAGTCCCAGTGCTGCCCAAAAAAATGCAGTTTGACCCTAAAAAGGCCAACTATTTGGACTGGCAGAGTGGCTCAAGCTGTAAGAGTGCTGACGTAGCAAGTATGAGGCCCTGAGTTCTACACCCAGTGCCACCAAAAAAAAAAAAAAATTGTTTCAGAATTTGAAAAATATTTCCTTTCTTTTGGAATTCAGTGTGCTATTTAAAAAAATCCAATCCCATTTTGATTTCTTTCCATTTATCCCCTGTTTTGGTTTGTTTGCCTGTTTATAGCTTTCTGGAAATTTTTAGAATCTTCTTTGTATTCTTAGTCATCTGAAATTTCATTGTTGTACCTTACCTGAAAAAAATGGAGTAAGTTTTTTCCCTACCCTTATGTTAGGTGGCTCCCAAGAGGCTGCCTCTTCTGATTTGGTTACATGCACTTCTAGAGCACCACAGGCTCCTGGGAGGGGAGGATAGAGCCTGATTCTGGTGTTAGGAGCCTTTCTTGGGTTCTGGCTCATAGTGCCAAATGATTCTTTTTGTAATATGAGAATGTTCAAAAATATTACTCATTTTTCATCTGAATTTGATAAAACTAACATGTCCAAAAGAAGTTCATTCTTTTCCAACCTTTGTCCCCCACCAAAATCAGTGTTACTTAAAAAATGTTCCCATATTTTGTCTTCCTCCACCATAGGCCTCAAAGACCTCAGGAATGTTTTTAGCAGCTCCACCCTCTTCCTGTCCTAATATCCATTTCCCTTAACACTACAATTTTTAAAATACCATTTACAAATTAAATAAAGTGATACGTTATTCAGGCATACTAAGGCTTTGAATATTGCAGGTAATCTGTTTTTAAAGAGTTTTCACAGCAAGAGAGAGGCTATAAATATTTTGAATATAAATTGACTTGTGGTTAGAGAAGTTGAATTCTAGTCTACAATAAAAAATGGCTAATTTTCATTTCTCCGGTTTGTAATAGAACAATGTAAATGAAAACAGTTTACACACTTCATTATAAATCTTTTGTTTTTATTCATAGTTTTTTGCCTTTGTACCTGCTTTTCCCTTCAGCTAAAAATGTTCTTCTCTCCCCAGTCCCTGCAATGGCAAACTCCTATTTATTCTTTAGGTCATCATTCACTACTTAGTATAGTAACTCAGCTATATCCCTGTGACATCTATCACACTTTTATGCATCTGAGAGCAGAAGAGATTTCTTGTTAACCTATGGGACCTAGCTATCTTTAGTGTGAAGTAAAGTCCTAGCACACAGAACCACGTGCCAGGTCATACTATGTTAGGTGAATGTACTAAATGCACTTTTGATGTTGGGGATCGTCTTCCTGATATACCCCGATCTTACACATTAGTTTTTTTTTTTTCAATAGAAATAGAATCTATTGTACTTGAAGTCAGAGTTCCCCATAAAACGGTGCTGTTCATGGTTTTGCTCTTAACTAAGGCAAAAGCAAATATACTATAGAAGGCTTAATTTGTAATATACTTATCTAAACACTGCTTGAAACATTTAATAATAAGCAGATATTTCATAAAATTCTTATTGTTCACTATAGAGTTCACTTATGATTTTATTTCCATATGTTTTATGTCACTTAGAAATTTACCAAAGACTTTAATTTGTATTATCTCATTTGATCGCCTCATTAGCTCCAGACAGGTCCTTTCTCTATTGCATGTCAGGAATGATTATGTAAATATGCAGTGTCACTCATGGACTTAATTGAGAGGCTGGGCGATAATACAAGTGATAGATTTCCATCACCATCATGTGTATGGGTGTAAAGTCTAAGAAAAGCCATCAACTCTGGAGAACAAGAGCAGAAATCAGGTCTGTTCCAGGTAGAGTATGAGGAGTGGAATATAGAATGTCTATGGAGAATCATAGATAATTGCTTTTAGCTGAAGAATAGGTTGTGGTGTTTGTAAGAACAAGATAAGCTTGAGAAAGCAACTGGAATCATGAAAGGAGTGAAAAAGGTGGGACTTTGTAGAGTGAGAATTGAGAGAGACTGAAAATTTGTGACTAGGGAATTGAGCATCAAAATTCTGCTTTAGGACTTACTAATAATGATTAGGATGGATTAGATTTAGAGAGAAACTAGAACCAACATGACCATCTGGGCAACTGTGTAGTATTCCAGTTGAAAAACTTATCCTTTGTGTGCAACTGCCTGAACAGTTGCAAGAGGGATACTGTGAAATTTTAGTCAACAAAATTTGGAACCTAATGAGATGGATGAGACAAGGAAAAAGCAAAAGCAAATCAATGTTGTTGATGATGGTGGAGGGAATGGAATGTTCTATCACCAGTACTTCCCTGACTTCTTATCCATCTGTAACTTTTTAGTCTTCTGTATGGTTAGTTCTTCCAGCTCACCATCTTTGACCCTTACTTACTTAATTTACTCAGCATATATTTCTTTAACACTTTCTATGTAATATTCGCATTTTGCTAAGTATTAAAGACAAATGAAGTAAATAACCCCTGCCCTCCATGAGCTCATAGTCTAATGGTAAAAACAGTACAATATTGTAAAGAATTTGTTGCTCTGTGTACTCCATGCCACTTGGACATAGATAAGCACCCAATTTGGCCCACATAGATCAGGAGACAATTCCATTCTCTGTTTTGAAAGAGAGGTAGATACTAACTTGTGAAGAATGTGAGAAAAATGCCCTGTGTATAAGTTGCTTAATGAGCCAAAACATGTCAGTATCTCCTGAGAACAATGGGATTTCTTCTCTTTTGCAAGAAAGCATGAGATTTTAAATTTTTATTTTTAAAGTATTTTCTTATACTAGTGAGATATAGTAAATATTTGGTATTACCTGAAGTTCTTTTTAGGAAAAATATAGTTAAGTTTGAATGTAAATTTTCAAAGACAGCTAGGTAGTTACTGTCTGAAATATTTTAAGTATTTTAATTAAAATAGCCATCAAGCCACTTTAGAATTAAATTTATGTGTAAATTAACAACCTCTAAATTCTCTATCTCCCACCTTTTTTGATAGCACCTACAAGATTTAGTGCTTTTCTAAAAATATGATATAGAACCAGATGGAAAAGCAGCTGATACACATTTATATTTATATATCTGTTTATAAACTGTAAGTGAGTGTGTTATTTGTACTCTACTGTATTCACTTGTCAACAATTCTCTATAAAGGGATTGTCTCAAAAAGGAAAACAAAAAGCAGTACTAAGAAGTGCTTAGGAAAATAGTGTTCCTTTATTTTAGATATAGTGTTATTCCAGCCATACAGTTTTATACAGAATGCATGCAAATAACCTCTTTTGGAGGGACAAAAAATTTCTTGATCTTCCCTTGAATTTGGGTTAGACAAGTACTTTCTTTGAATATTTTCCCCTGCTTTCTGTGGGTAATATTCAGCACCAATAGCTATAACTATCTGTAAATATTATAAAAATAATCTATAATTTGTAGGCAAACTTTCCTCTATACCTGCATCCTTTGTTAATTGTATACGGAATTCTAATTTAACATAATCATAAGTAGAACGCAGTCTTTAAGATTTTGAGAGCCTCTTTGGTTTCTATTTTACTGTAGAAGGTGACTTTTCATACATTCTGTAAAAGTTTGTAGTAACTGTTCTGTGTCACCTCAAATCAGGGAAAAATTATCCCCTGATAGGAAAAAATGGCTGGGAACATGTTCGTGAAAGTTAGCATGGAAATCTAATTTTGTGCATTAAGTGTGGACAGCCAGAATTTCAATAACCACAACAGAAACACGGTCCCACACCTGGTCAGTTTTAGAATAGAAGCTGATGCCTTTAAAAATAGCTCACTTCTACAGGGAAATGTGATTTATGGTAATCCAAGATACAGATATGACCAGAACCACATTCCATTTAAAGTTATTATGCCATTGAACTATAAAAACAGTGCTTTGAACTGAATCAGTGGAACTCAGTCCTCTTTAGTAGACAGTAACACAAGCACTAATGAGACAGATTTCACTAAAAGATAGTTGGTTTATAAGAGAGTTGTAGTCCTTTTTTATTTTTAAATTGCTGGCTTAGTCCTGGTACCTAGTCTTTCTCCTCTGTACCATCACCATCACCAGTTTTCTACATATGCTTTGACATTGCTGTGGTAACCCTGAGGGCTGATGGAATTCCCTGTATCTCTCTTCACAGAGGGTGATGAGACAGGAGTGATGGATAGTCTGCTGGAGGCCTTGCAGTCGGGGGCTGCCTTCCGAGACAGAAGAAAAAGGACACCGAAGCCTAAAGGTGAACATGATACTGTTTCATATTACTTTCGAGGGAACTGTCACAGAGAAGAGCACTTTTTTAAAAAAATTTCTAATTCTTTTAAAGTCGTGTGTCAAGAATGCAGTGCTGTGGGCAACAACTCTTAGAAGTTTCATAAGTTTGCTTAATCCCTTGCAAAGACAAATGTCAGAGAGAGATACATTCCAGTTGGCTGATGTCAGTAGCACATTACCAAATCAATGCACTGAACTTAGAAAATCCTGATTAGCGTGACAAGTCTCTTCTAAAGAACCATATGTACCTTGTCCCAGTAGAGTTTACAGTAGCATAATTAAATAGGAAGTAAAAGTCATAACATTACTGCTTCAAGTATTTCAGGGTATTGAAGCATTGCTTTGCCTCCAGAAATACTTAACCTTGGGGGAAATGAAAGTATGTAATACTGTTATACTTCTTGAGATGAACAGACCTCTATATTAAGTTTCTTTTATATTTTTTTTGACAGATATTCGGCAAAGTCTCAGTCCACTGTCTCAGAGGCCTGTTCTGAAAGTTTGTAACCATGGTAATAAACCGTATTCATAAATTGCACATTTTTCTTATCTTATTCATCTGTGATTTTAGCAGGCTGCTGTGAAGTTCTCAAGTTTCAGTGTAACCAAACTAGTAAAAATATGTAGATATACGTGTTTGCTATGAGATTGTGCGCTGGTGTTTCCCGTGTTACATTTTTGCCTTGTGGTCGTTTCTAGGGTTCTTCTTTTCAGGTCTCAGTGGGTATTTTTCATTATTATTATTATTGGAAGAGATCACATATTTCTGATTAGTATTGTACCATTTCGAAAGTAATGTGATCTCATAATACCATTTTTAAATAGTGGATTTACTGTACATCAAGATATAATTTGAAATGAAATCATTCCCTGTTTTACTCTGTAGATATGTTAGCACCATTAGAAATACTTTGACTTTCATTTTGGCAAAATCTTTGTAAATACAGGTGAGCTACCTTGTGATATTACTGGGTAAGGATATGCTTTAAAAAAAAAAAAGATGAATTAACTTCATGTCTGTTATTTATCTAAGACCGACTTCTTTAAAAAGAAAAGAAATGCCTTGCCAATCTGATATGCCCATCTGCATGGCGCCCTCTCCTCAGTTCAAGGGACCATTTGTTGATTGGCTTTTATTCATTTTGGTTCCCTCTCCCTCCTATGTAATGGGATCTGCTCACTTCCCATGATCAAAAATGCATTCATCCTTTGTGGGTGTCATTTATTTAGAATGAGGTATTCATCAAAGTTTGCCATCTTTGTAAATTGAGAAAACACTTGACAGATTTGATCCAAGGGTTTTTTGGCTGCTAATGAGTTCATTTCTAGAAGTATTAATGTGTGACTGAGAGGAAATTTTGTTCCATCTTTCTAGATAACCTAAAACAATTAATGAAGCAAGTAAGAAAACCAGAAGAATGCAGTGATTTCTTAGTAGCTATGTGGATCCTTACTGCCACAGGCAAAGGGTAGTAGATGCTTAATAAGTGACAGAAAAGATGAACATCTTCCACACTATTTTAAATAGCTCTTTCTGACTTTCTTCAGAATGCCTCTCTGTTTCTTTTGGTTTTCCTGTTTTAACAATAGGAAAAAATAATTGTAATAAGTCAGGAAAGTTAACTATGGATAATTAAGTAATTCTTAGCTATGGGTTTATGATTTGAAGTCATGGTGACATACTAAATTATAATAAAAGTGTAGAGGATAGTGCTATTCTGGACCTTAGAGATTATTTTGTTTAGTAGGCAAGGAAAAGGAAATTCAGAGAGGCTGAAATCTGTCCAAGAGTACACAGCTAGTGCCACAACTGTGACCATATACAGTTCTCTAATTCCTAGTGCGCTTCTTTTTTTTAACTACATAAAGGCACTTTGATTTTTTAAAGATAAACAACTCAGCCCCCATTTTAACTCATTAAAGAATACAGCCAAACACAATGGTTATTATATGGCTATAATGGCATTCTGTGCTTAATTAAAAATAAATATTTTAGATATAATTCAGGGGAAATCTATTTAAGATAACTGTTACACCAGCCTTAAGGAGTGCAGTCCTTCTGTGACTGTAATGTCAGTAAAATGTCTGTGTCAAAATGACTCAGAAGTAATTACTTAGAAATTGCGGTATTTCTGTTCATTGTATTAAAGCATATGAATGTTGCATTTTTAGAAAGCTAATATTTACTGTCCTAAATTCTAAAGCTATTGTCATAATTAAACTAGTAGATTATATAGCAAGCCAAAAGAGATTATTCACCAGGTTCAAAAATCTCTTTAGACAAGCAGGTGGTATAAATCCCATAATCCCAGCTACTTGGGAGCTAGAAACAGAAGGATCATGACCTCAAGGCCAGCCCAGGGAAAAGCAAAACCCTGACCCAAAAAGAAAATACAAATAAAAGGACTAGGTGTGTGGCTCAAATTGTAGACAACTTGCCTAGCATACCCATGGCCTTGTTTTCAATCCCTAGTATTACCAACATTTTTATTTTAAATTCTCTCTTTTCTAATATAGTCAATGGTTTGATTTCCATTTCATAGTTGAAAGTAACCAAAGATTAAACAAGTCTCCTGGCCTATATGACTTCAGGTTCCAAGTTCTTAATCTCTCTGCCATGCCACCTACTTAAAACAAGTGCTTGAATCAGTATCTCCAGCCTCTGATGTGCCTCACCTTTCCTTACCAGATGCAACCACTAGATAGCACTGTTTTCCTAGTCTAAAGCTTAGATTACAAAAATAATCTGTAATTATGATGACATTTTATTTCTTTTAATAATTAAAATTTGATAATCACAGATACCTTACCAGAAGGCCCTATTTCATTGGGAAACAGACTAGTATTAATTTCCATACACCTGGTAAATCACAGGATAGAAGTGACACACCAAATTTTGCCAAGATCAAAGCTGGGCACTGGTGGCTCATGCCTTTAGTCCTAGGTACTCAGGAGGCAGAGATCAGTACGATTGCAGTTTGGAGCCAGCTCATGTTCAAGACCCTGTCTTGAAAAAACCCATCCCAAAAAAGTGTTGATGGAGTGGCTCAGGGTGTAGGCCCTGAGTTCAAGCCCTGTACCCCCACTCCCCCCAAAAAAAGTTTGCCAAGATCAGAAGGTCCAAAAGACCAGTCCAGACTTTTCAAGGACTGACTTGGATTCTAGAGGGACCTGAAGTTCATGCTGGGTTTCAAAGGATGAGTAGAAATGAAGCTAGAAACCCAAGAACAAGGATAAGCCAAAAGCAACTTTGCACTTTTTCAAGAGAGCCTTTCTGAACGAACCCCATTGGAGCTTTGGTGAACTTGGTAATACCCTACCTTCCCACGTTATGGCACTCACTGCCTTGGAAATGTTTCTATCAAAGTCTGACTGCCATAGTAGTCATGGTTTCCATAAGAGAAGGGAAGAGGCCATAAAAGGAAGGTGCCAGTGTTGTTTTCTGCCAGAACCCAGCATATCGTGGATTGGTGCCTGGCACATGGGTCTTAAGAAATAATGTGTTGAATGAGCAGACATGTTTATGTTTAGGCTTAAGTGGAACAATTGGTTCATATCAAGAAGCAAAATCAGATCTCTTAATTTCACCCACATAAGTGGAATTTAATGTGCCAAAGGCTAAACTCCAGCAGTGAAGACAATTAGCCACCTTTCATCTCCTCCCTTAAATGTTATCTGTCATCAAAAGGAGACATTTGATTACCATTGGTCTGTGCTTCAGAATTCTGCATCAGAATTGGATCAGATGCAGAAGGTAGGATTCAATTGTTTTTTTGTTTGTTTGTTTGTTTTTTGGTGACTCTGGGAATTGAACTCAGGGTCTCACTTGAACCATGTCCCCAGTCCTTTCCTTTTGCTTCTAGTTGGTTCTTCAGATAGGGTCTCATACTTTTGCCCAGGCAGCCTCAGACTATAATTCTCTTACCTCTACATCCCGAGTAACTGGGAGTACAGGCATGCTCCATGCTCAGCCCTAAAATACAATCTTTTTTTATTATTATTATTCATTTATTCACATGTGCCTACATTGTTTGGACCATTTCTCCCCTCTGCCCCCTACCCCCTCCCACTTCCCCCCGCCACTTCCAGACAGAACCTGTTCTGCCCTTTTCTCCTGTTTTGTTGAAGAGAAGACATAAGCAATGATAAGGAAGACAAAGCGTTCTTGCTAATTGAAATAAGGATAGCTATACAGAGAGATTGCTAGCATTGCTTCCATGCAGAAGTATGTTACAACCCAAAATGATTCATTTTTACCTGACCTTTTCACTACTTCCCCATCACCTTCCAATATTGACCTCTGTCACTTTAAGGTTTCTGTATTAGCTCCTCTGGAGTGGGGACATCAAACACTTTCATATTTTTGGTTTACTACCTATCCCCATACCTCCCATATGTGCTCTCCCCTTAGCATGTGACCCAAGTCCAATAGCATTGCTGTATTTACCCTAGATCTAAAGTCCGCATGTGAGGGAGAGCATACGATTTTTGGTCTTCTGAGCCTGGCTAAACTTGCTCAGAGTGATGTTCTCCAGTTCCATCCATTTACTTGCAAATGATAAGATTTCATTTTTCTTCATGGTTGAGTAAAACTCCATTGTGTATAAGTACCACATTTTCTTAATCCATTTTCATCAGTAGTGGGGCATTTTGGCTGTTTCCATAACTTGGCTATTGTGACTAGCACTGCAATAAACATGGGTGTGCAAGTGCCTCTGGGGTAACCTGTGTCGCATTCCTTTGGATATATCCCCAGGAGTGGGATTGCTGGATCATATGGCAGATCTGTGTTTAAATTTTTAAGAAGCCTCCATATTTTTTTCCAAAATGGTTGCACTTGCTTTCATTCCCACCAGCAGTGTACGAGGGTTCCTTTTTCCCCACATCCTCGCCAACATCTGTTGTTGGTGGTGTTTTTAATGATAGCTTAAAATACAATCTTGATTGGATTACTCCATAAAAATAGAGAGGTACTTACTAAATTCCTTTCCCTCAGTCAAGCAAAGGGTAACAACATTTAAATAAAAGAAAGCATATGCTGATTGTATAGACCAGGCAATTATCTCTTTATTCAACATGGTGTATTAAAAAACATAGACATTTTCTGTAGTTTATAGAAAATGGAAAAAGTTCTTTTAAAAAACTGTAATCAAAATACTTATTAATGCATTTTTATGTAGATCATACTATAGTGTCTAGATGTTTGTGAATTAGTTGGCCTAGATGAAAGTAAAGGACCACATGGAAAAAAGTTTATTGAGACTCTTATAACAGACCAACAAATTTGGACTTTTTGAGGTTTCTGAATGAGAAAATGACAGGTCTGAGTAGTTAGTATAGAAATGAAGTGACACTTTGAAGCAAGAGGGAAGAGCTGAAAGGACTTGTTTGATGATATCAAGGATTGATGCACAGGATGGGGAAAGAGTCACAGGATATCCTGAGTTTGGGGGAAAGAAGCCAGGCCTAGAACTCTTAAGTCAAGAGACCCTCCCACAGAATTCCTGATGTT